AGGGGGGGGAAGCCCCCGTCTTGTCCGCTCTTAACGGGCCTGTTCGTCCACGAACCCCGCTTGCAGTATGTTCCGGTCAAGGGCGACCACGTAATAGGAATAGTGACGGCCAAAGCGGGAGACGTGTTCAAGCTGGACGTCGGTGGGAGCGAGCAGGCATCTCTGTCCTACTTGGCCTTTGAAGGCGCCACGAAGAGGAACAGGCCAAACGTGCAGGTAATGCTTTCGTTTATTGGAGGTAACGCGTTAGCGATGCCCTTTGGTGGCGCTTCTGTTGCGCTTTAGCAGTTTTTCTTAGTAAAAGGTATTCTCATAAGTAGCACGTAAGAGGAGGAGCGGAGGTTGGTTTGCAGTGGTTTTGCTGTGGCCCTCCTTGGAGGTTTTTGCACGATTAGGCTGCGGGTTTTCTGAGGTTTCTTAAGAGAACGTGCAACTAGTGCGGTGTGGTATCTGTCAGATGGCAAGCTTTTTCACTCCCGAAGTGTTAGCTTTCCCAAAATACTGCCGGCAGTATAGAGGCAGTCACCAGTAACGTGCATCCAAGGGGGCACTCTGAAATTAAGGTTTTAAAACAAGCTTTTACACCATCTGATACTGGTAGAAAACAGTTGGGTTTTTAACAACACTGTTATAAACAGTTGTGTGGCACGTGCATGCCACAGCTTCTGCATTGAACTGAAATACCCTCACCAGAATGTAAAAATGGACTGTAAAGAAAAACAAAATAGGTTAGTGTGATTTTTTTTTTGTTGTTGTTGTTGTCCTGATAAATGATTACAAGAGCAGGTTGCTTAGACTTTTAATACCTTTAATACCTAAATTAATGCTTAAAAGTTTGAAGAAAGAGGAATTCGTGTTGGGTATTTAAAAAAGAAGAGTGGAATGCTTCATGAAATAAAATCCTGTACTTTTTTGTATCTTTCAAATTCCAGTAGTGATACGAGAATTGTTGTGAGAGGATGTTTCCTTTAGTAGAAGAAAAGAAAATGAAAATTCCTGTTATACCAGTTTATTTTTCTATCACCAATATTTTAAAACTATTTTGCGGCCTCATGGGAGTATCTTTATCAATTGAGTATTTCTTACAAATGTGCAGCACGGTCTCCTCTAATATTTTTCCTTTTTGATACTGCTTTGTTTAGGTGGGAGATCTTATTTATGGTCAGTTCCTTGTAGCAAATAAAGACATGGAACCAGAGATGGTCTGTATAGACAGCAGTGGAAGATCAAGTGGAATGGGAATAATTGGACAAGATGGCTTCCTCTTTAAAGTTTCTTTGGGTCTAGTAAGAAAGTAAGTACTAAGAAAAGTAAGTAGTTGCTCTAACGTGTAACATGGTGGGTAGGATTCGCCCTATTTCCTCTGAGCAGTGTGGACGATTTGGTAGAGTGTGTAACTGTTTTAGTGCATTTGTACCAGTTTTACCGAACAGACTATGGATATTGACGTAGAAGGAGCATGTATTTTCCCCCTTAAGAGATTTAGATGCTCTTCTATATGGTGTTGTGTGACCTGTTTGAAAAAAGTTATGTGGTTGCCAAGGCAGCATGGAAAATAAAACCATTGACCTGGGGAAATCACGCATTCAAGCTGGGGTTTCAGGTATGTACCTACTACCTGGGAGTTTAAAAATTGGAAATGCTTACTGTCCGTTTTCTGCTTAATGCGGTAGTGGGGGATGTAAGTTTGGCTGACAGCTGATTAAAGGGGTCTTTCCACATCAATGCACGTTATTTTCTGACTTCCAAAGAAAAATAAATTGCATTGAAGTAAGGATACAGCTAAAAAAATCTGTGGAATTTTCATTTAAAACTGACATGTTAATCCAGGAACCATTTCATAAGCTTTTAAATGTATTGTGAACTTTGGAGTCACATATGCTGGTGTAAATACAAGATTTCTGTGACTATGAAAGAATACCAGCTTATATGGATAAATGATAGTCAAGCTTTGTTGTTGCTTTTGGGTGGGGTTTTTTTGTTTGTTTTCATTGTTCTTTAGAAAAGCAATCTGGAGATGCAGAGCAGCTATTTCATACCTGGGTTTTTTAAGTAATGATTTGTTTGGTTTACATGTCCCATCAGAAGTCAGTGTGAACTGATAGAAAATATTTTTGCAGCCATTCTGCTGCTTTTCCAAATTTTGTCTGTATACAAGTAAAGAAATAACAGTATATTTCAAGTAAACTGCTAAATCCTGATACGTTTGTTTCTTCTTTGAGAAAGCCTGTTGAAGCTTGATTTAATCCTAGATGTATTACAATATTCTTGGTGCTTTTATTTTTTAGTATGCTGTTGCCTAATAAAAAGAAAATATTCTATGTTTACTGCTGTTAATATTGTCTCCTGAAGGAGAAGGGAAGTCGTGTTTTGAAAGACACATCTTTAACTCTGGTGTCAAATTTATAAATAGCAGCACTTTAAAAACATCACTTTGTCAAACAGCGTTGTTTTAGAATTTATTAAATCATAGAATTGTATAAAAGTATCGATTCACTTTAAATTTGTCAGGTATTACTTCTGAATCGAATTAGAAAAAACAAAATTCACAAGTGCTGTATTTTTTTAGGTGTGTAGATTTTATGAGAGGAGAATTAAAAATCTGATACTGTATTGCTGTTTTGGATGCACGTGCAGCTTGATGATCATCTTACCTTTTGGTGTTGCTTCAATAGCTCCCATAACAGCAGTACTGCAGTTTAGTTGTTGATGGATAATAATGCAGTGAGCGCTTACTTCTTCCTCTGACTTTTTTTTCATCTTGTTTGCAGACTGTTGGCTCCCAAATGTGAAATAATTCAGGAGTTGTCACAATTGTACCCATTTGAGCTGGTGCTGGGAATGAATGGAAGAATATGGGTAAAAGCCAAAACAGTTCAACAGACTTTAATTATAGTAAATATTTTGGAAGCCTGTGAGTATATGACTGCAGAACAGAGAAAACAAGCACTTGCCAGATTGTCAGGGAATTGATAAGAGAGAACCTTGAGGATTTGTTTGAGATGACTGTAGGGTGTTTTGGTTATTTTTGTATTCCGATTTATATTAAAAGCCATTTTTTAAATGAAGTACCAGACTTCTGTTGTTCTTCAGTTCCCTTCTTTATCCACTCAGCTTGTGTTGTTTAGGAACTTTGTTTTTACTCACTTCTGTGATTATGAAACCCTCTTTATGCTTATGAATTTTCTGGTGTGGAGACAGTCTGTAAAGGCTTCCATTAACTCTGAATTTTGAGGTCTAACCAAGTCTTCGGTAAGAAAACTGGTCAGTTTGTAAACTCCATATATTTGCTTTTTTAGCCAATATTAAAACTTCAGACAGTACGTGTTTACTTGGGGTAGCAGAAAGTATCGTACAGGTCATTCATTTTGGTCAGGTGCTCTATTTATACAGTCACAAGAAGTGATTATTTAATATTTTACAAAATTTGGGGATAGAAACGTGGGGAATACCAGAAAAAAAAAATACAGGGTGTAGCATAAAATAATCATAGGATGGTTAAGGCAAATGATCAGATAAGACCCAACATACGGTCACAGTGACCTTGCCACTTTTTCCGAAAAGATAACCTGGCTAGTAGTCGTGAGGAAATGGTGATTAGGATGTAACTTCAGTGTGAACATTGAGGAGGCTTGATGGCTCACTGGAGGTAAAAAATACACTTAACAGCAATGCTGTTTGAAGTCACTTGGAACTTCTTCGTAAGTGCTCTTTAACTAGAAATCAGGTAAAGCAGCAATAGCCAGGTATTTCTCAGTTCTAGACATTTTAGATTTATGTTGTTTAGTTACAGCGTGAAGATTCCATATAGCTTTGCTTCATGTTTAACAAAACCAGCATTTCTGAAAAAAGCTGTATTAGGCTTCATTGTGTAGTAGTTCCTCACATGCGTGTAGAGGAAATGCTGCCCTAGGGAGGATAAACTGTCAGTCTATTTTAGTACGTGGATAGTTTGCTACTGTTCTTTTGAGAGAGAAAGAGAACCCTGGAGTAGTGGAAGGGGAATTACTGATGGCTGCTTCCTGTGGGAGAAAACTTGGACTGGTATGTACCCAATGAACTGCATTGGAGCTGTTTAAGCAGTTACTTAGATCTGTGATGTTTTGTGGTTCTTAATAAGCTTAGTAGTTTGATAGCAATAGTTAAAAGAAATTAGAAAAAATGGACCATTTAGAGTAAGCCTGAATAGCATCTTAATTCCAAGTGGAAACAAAATTCTTTCTATTTATTCTGTATTTCGTCCAAAGTTCAGCCTGTTATGTTTGATGATACGGTTTTCTTTGGCATCTCTCTCATGTAGAAACTGCTTCAGTTCAGAGCCGCTCCTCTGACTCATCTTTAATACACTTACCTAGGGCTTCCCCTGATTCAATAAAAACACAACTCTAATGGTTTCCATATGAGTCTAATGGCTACAATTCAGAATTCTTTCTGGGTTTCACTGGCCTCCCTATTTAGCATTTAGGGTATTGCTCATCTGGCTTGGTAGATCTGTAGTCATCTTTTTTCACCTGTTTCTCCCAGCTGAAGTGACTTTCATTCACATCCCATAAATCTTTGAGGCCTATAATCTATCTCTTGCTATACATGAAAGGCTGTAATTTAATAAGGATTTCACTAACTCTGCTCTTCTCCAGTGTTTTTTCAGCTTTAGCTAACCAGAGCCCCTGCAGGTTGTGTTATTAGAACAATAGCTGGCATAAGCAGCAAAGCACTTGCCAAATCATCTCAGGGTGATGACTTTGTTTTCTGTGAATGTTCTTGGATCATAATAGTAAACCCACAGGAATGGGGAATGACACGGATCGTTTCCTGAAGAGTTGTGGCTTGAAATGCAATTAGCCTCACCACTCCCCCTTCTACCTGTCTAAGCAACCTCCCTTCCCTCCCAAAAGTCTTGAGTTTTAAGCCTAACCTGCAAGATACGCGAACAATCCCAGATTGAAAAATGCTGTTTTGGTGCTGCAGCATAGCAAATGGTGACCTTGAAAGTTTTCAACTCATCAGCGCCCTATTTCACACCACCCATTATTCTGTCCCACTGTCAACTGCTTATCACCCAAATGTAACCTTAGCTAAACCAAGAGCAGGAAACAAAATGCATTAAAATTATGCTTGTGTTTAACAAAATGGTGTATCCACAAGGTACTTGAGTTTTACCCCCTACACAATCATGTTAAGTACGTACTACACTTAAGTTTGTTTGACAATTTATGCAGTGGCAAAAATGATGGTGGATGTGAGCAAAATGGGTGTGGGGAAAAAATGCTTGAAAGCAGATACGTTTAAATGCATTACTAAAAGACGGCAATGTTGGTGTTTTGGTTTTTTTCTTTTTTTACTTGAAGAAAAAACTACATTCCTTACATCAATTACTAGCTTTGACAAACTTTATCTAACGAACAAAATAGGCAAAATCTGTATGATGTCTTCGTGAACTTTTAGTTCTGGCTCAGTGACTAAACCAGCGTCACCAAAAAGAGTGACAGAATATAACTTGGTTCTAGGAAGAAAGACCAATCATGAGTTAATTATGTATTCTGCTGGAAATGTTACAGGAAGTCCTTCACATTCCCATCAAAGGCACATAAACACGTATGTTTTGGGGAAATGGAACTCGCAGAAGTGGTGCTGTGGACTTGAAATGTAGGTTGCTTAGCAGAATGTCTTTCTGTTGCGTTTATCTGTGTGATAATTTAAGTCATTATGTAGAGTAATTCATTTCAGATACTCGGTGATTGTGCATTGGGTGCTTTGTTACATTGCTTTTCTTTCAAGTTGTGATGAAAGTTAAGAAGTAGAGATGGTAGATGTCAACACGGACACAGTCCGTATCCCCAGAGATTAGCACAACCCCTTAAAAAGAAAGTTCATAAAGAATTAAGTGGAAACCATACACTGAAAATATGAAATACATAGTTTGTGGCCCTTCCTAGGTTGATGCGTTGTATAAAGACCAAGAATAAATGCTAACAGGAAGTACAGATAATGCAGTGTTGAAACTAAGCGTGATCGACATTTGTGTTTTCCTCTAGCAGAAGAAAGTTGCACAGACAAATGGTTCGATGTAATAAGAGGGTTCAGAGCTTAACTCTAAGGCTATGGTTAGAGTGTGGCTGTAGCCCTGCTACATTAGAAGTTTACTGTGCCCAACTGCTCATTACCACCTTACCACCAGAAGTTGCAACTGAGGTTTGCTGGCATGTGTATTTGATTCCTAGCCAAGTTCTGTCAAAATGACCCAGATTGGCATCAACGCTTCTAACAGCAGGGTTATTTTGTTTTTCTAACCCGGATGTTCTTTTAGCAGAAGAGGTCATGAAATTTTTCTCTTGGATGTTAAATATTAAGAGCAGCTCATCTACTACTGGAGAAGCGTAAATTTGTTAGAGAAAACCCAGTTCTCTTCCTTAGTGCTTAAATAATTGAGAGTTACAGCTAAATCAACCCGTAAATCAACAAGTTATTTTAAACCTTACAAACTGATCGCCTCCAAGCTTTACATACTTACATAAAAAAAAAAAAACCACCAGTTTTTCTAGCTGCATACAACCAACTTGGTGAGATATGTTATTTGACTGAGTATAGAAGCTAGCTGTCTTGAGGACAATGTGGAACACTTCAGCTGTATTAGTAACACAAACAGCCTTGTCCTTGCTAATGACTTGTATAGATTGCAAGATGCATAACTACTATTGAAGTCTATTGTAAGAAATTAGACGTGTCAGTGTTGTCACCCCAACGACTTGAAAGAGAAATAGCCTAGAAACGTGTTGGGTGCCTGGATTTTAATAGAAACTGTGTAGTAGTTGTGGTTGGTTAACAAGGACCGCTGCAGAATGACCGTTTTCCCCTGATGTCCTGATCTCGCAGAAGAGCACTTACTGCCTTTGGTGCTATCAATATGGGTATTTTGGGATGTTCAGGAGCCTATTTTTGCTTACAGAGCCTGAAGCTTGATCGCTATTCTAGTGGCTTGAATAGTCACTAAAAAGAACTCTTTTTACTAGGCCTCAGTGTCCTACCTAGTATGAGAAAAACTAAAAAAAATGGACTAGAGTAACAGTGTGGGTAGCACTGCAGTAAACGGGACAGAGAAAAACTATAGGCCACGGAGATTCAATTTTGCTTTCATGACACTTGCCTGATGTAAAGATCCTAAAGACTGAGGGACAGACAGCAGGGCTAATGACCTCATCCGCTCTTTCCAAAGGTTATCCATTGCATTGTCGTAAATGGTAGGCTTTTCCAGGATTCAGTGTTTATTAGACCATTGCCAAAAGAGATTTGTGTAACCATCTGTATACCCCTTAAAAAGACTTACTAATTCTTTCTTCCTGCTCTTGTCCGGATGTAGGGTGTTGCACCAATCTCTTCTCGGTGTTCCACTGTGAACACCCGCTCATGCCAATTTGTTCAAAAGACCTGTAGGTCCTTTGGTTTCTTCAGTGACTACCGCACCCTGATCTTACTGAAGATAAACCTAAGCTCCTGCGTCCAGGCTGGCTGTAGACAGACTGGTGCTTTTATTTCCCGCGAATCGGGATGAGGTTGAAAACGCCACCACGTGAGTACATGTCGCCGGACAGCATCCAGACGAGATGGCGGTTGCCTGGTCTAGCCGAAACCTATGTCAGTCTGCATCTGTGTGGATATGCCTTTAGAAGCACATGGGTGAAAAGTTCAAGTTGTATTTTTGTATGTCTGCATCCAATCTTATGGGCTCAGTATTGAAAATCTTAATTAGTCTGGAAATCCTTCTACAGACACAGGGCCTAGATCCTGCCTTAGCCCACCGCTGTCTGTTTCCTCGTTGCTTTTGCGATCTCCTGTTTCCTGATAGAAAAGACAGTTTGTTTAATATAAGCCATTCGTCTAACAACGCCCTTGGTCTAAAGCTGATCTATAGAAGCATGATCCAACAAGAAACAGAAATAATTAACTTCTGAAGTAACACACAGCTTTGTCATTCTGTACATGAATTGAAAGTTTCGTAATGCTAGATCATGTTTTAGCATAGATACTGATACAGGGCATGCTGGGTGACTTATGCACAGGCATGCTGG